AGAACACAAAGACAACCCATAGCTGGAGCCCACATGAAAACCTAAAAACTTTCCCTTCAGCAGCTGACTCTCTAATGCTATGACATGCAAGTGACAGTTAAATGTAAGTTGAAAAAACTGTCTGCAAGAATGGAAAAAGGTTGGAGAAGTAGACTTAAGATTTAAAATAAAAACAACTAAAATGCATAGGGAAAAGAAAATCAGCCACATTTGTTTAAAATAATTACCGAAGTAAGAATAATTGCAAGTGCCAAAACTAGACAAAAGCATGGGTAGGTGGTAACAGCTACATGGACATCAAATGAGAGTGGTGCATCAAGGTTAAGAGGGCAGACACAGGGACCCTGTTTGCAGCACAGTAAGGACAACAGCCTATTCCTCCAGTCGAGGACAGCTCCAACATGGCTGTTATTACCACCTGCGCAGGTGCTGCTGCGCTAACAGTAAATCGGGTGGTAGCGACTGATACATAAATGATCATTCACTGCAGCAAACAACAACGTGAGCAGAGCTGACTCCTCCTCCACCAGGATGCTTTTGGTAAGTTGTAGCTTTGCAGAGACTTGCACTTCCTTGTCCCTCTTTCACCTCTACACTCTTGGATACAAAACCCTTGAAGTGTTTGTATGAACTGGCAGGCTGCCTGGCCACCCTTGTCAAAATGGTTTGGCAAATTTGAGCTGAGTACCGAATTGCTCACACAGGGACTGCTTCTACTTAATGAGCCACTTGATACCCAAGGCATGCAATTTCTCTGAACTCTTAGTAAACTGAAGTACCAGATACATTCTGTATCTTGATAACAGTAAATCACCAACAGACCACGCATGCAATACTTCAACATTGGAAAAAATTGGAACTTTGACGTTCATGATGAAAAATACCCCACACAGTTTTAATGAGGGAATGAGCAAAAGTGAGATGAACAATGCTAAGGAACATCTTGTGCCATAGGCTGATTTACTGCAAGACCTTACTTGCCGTGGAACTAAAGTTGTCCTCCACTAATTCCTGGTCTCAGCTTAGCTTGTAATGAAACTCGGTAAACCTTACTTGCTCAGTTTTCACTAGGCCACGCTGGCCTAGCACACTACAAGTGATTTTCCTTTTTTTGTTGTGGTTTTTTTTGTAAAACCTGCAGCAAGTCATTGGATTTTCCCCACCTTTTGCCCAGAAGAGCAGTCCATCATGCTTAGTGAAGAAGTCTTTTCATGGTCCTAAGTATTGTGATACTGATAAGCCTCTCTGACCACAGGTCTCTGACAACAGGTCAGTGAGGGTGAAAGCAGATGCCCCTGGTGCCTTTCCCTTGCTAACCTTTTCTTTCCCTTTCCTTCCCAGCTTCTGATTCCAGCCTGATCTGATTTCATGTGGCACCTGGGACCTGTTCCTGAGAGCTTTACTCCAGCCATACACAGTAAAGCAGTGTGGTACAGGGAATACTGGACCTCCTTCTTTCCTTCTTTGCTTTAACACATCCCTGAGGTGGTACAAAGCCTCACCTGCCTTCCCAGCAGCTACCTCTGATATGGAGCTCTGTTCCATAACAGGCTGCCACTGGCCGTCCCATTGCTGGGTAGGCTTCTCTAGTGCAAGGAGTAGACCTGGCTAGGGAAGCTTGGCTTCTGCTCTGCTGCCCAGACCCAGGGCAAACGTACTACCAGAACATCGAGCCCCACATCATCATCATCCCTGAATGGCTGGGTCTTGCATAGATGCAGAACGGCAGTGCTAACAAGAGGCCTGAACGCCAGAGAGCATGTGGGCATAAGCCTGGCAAGTGGCTGAGCAGGGAGAACAGCCTCTCACCCAAAAATCTGCCCGTGCTCAGCCACTTCTCCAGCTCTGCAGACAAAGCTGCCCCATGGCTGCTCTAACCCGCTTTGGGGGCAAATGCTTAATGCACTGAAGCTGCTTCAAGCTGCTGCTCAGCAGTCACACACCTGGCAGCTCACAACAACATGGGCCAGAGCACCCGTGGTGGCTAAAATGCCTGGGCCAGCCGGGTGGAGAGGAGTGGCTTTTCCACCAGCACAGTTAAGGTTGAACACGTGGAAAGCTCTGGGCTGTGTGCTTTGAGATTTGACCGGTTTAACTCTCTGTGTGGCTCTTTAATACCACGTGCCATGCTGAACAGCCTGATCCTGCAGCAGTGCTCTAGCAAGCAAACCAAAATCCATCATCTCACTGGCTCTGGTTAGCACCAAGCAGGATTATGGAGCATTCAGCTGAATCAGGCTAACCACTAACAACAGACTAAAATGATTTGTGAACCTGGACATTTGTACTGTGAAACAGTACATTTTTTAAATGCAGCGTCTTGTTAGTAACACAGTCTTTAAACGTGTTAGGGATTGGACAACTTACTGCCAACAGCACACCCAGCCAGATTTGAGCCACAGCAGTTTGTCAGGCCATTGTAAAAAGCTGGTCCACCTTTCTCTATGAAAAATACCCAGCACTGTGAATGGTTCCTACTGCAATGCCAAGAATAATACCAAGAGAGAGAAGAAAGCTACTCAAGTGAGTATGGAAACCATTTTAACCAGGAATCAAATACAGCTGTGTGTTTTTCTTGATGGAGTTTAAGCTGCATTAGCAAAAGTAATGTGATTTCAGCAATTTTTAAGTGTTTATAAAAGCCTAATGCAACAATGTTTTTAGAGGGGGAAAAGACATTTTAAAGGTGGCTTGGAAATGCTAAATATACCGTATTTGCAGCAATTCATTCATAACATTTTTCATCGAATTTCTTCTGGAATAGACATGTTCCTACAGCCAGCTTACAGAAAGACAGATTAGCCCTACACACACGTCCCCTGCAAGTCTGCCTGGGCACAGGGGTGTTAAATTTGCAACCTCTGGAGCAGTTGAGCCCACTTACAGTTGGCAGCCACCTCCACTCGGAAAGCATGGCAGGCTGGAGCTGCTCTAGAGGTAATAACCTGTTCCCAGCCATCACCACCTTCTGGGAGGAGGGCAGGGAAGAGGAGGCCCATCAGCTACCCTGGCAGCAGCAAGACAACGGAAAGATTACAAAACCTGTGCTTCCCCATACCCCCTGCCCCAAGCAGCTGTTGAAAGAAAAGATTGCTACTGAAGAGCTGTGATTAAAATTTAATAAACCTTTTCATAAGGAAAAAGAAAAGTGTTCAAAAAACTTGACACTATTTCCATAAAAATCCACTACCAAAACTCCACAAAATATCCAAAATTTTAATTCTGGAACAATGACCTTTCTACAAAGAGATTTTAGAGACTGAGTGTACATATTCACAATAGCAACAAACTAAGGCATGTTGTCTGTAGCTATGTTTAGAAATTAAAAGATTTTGAAAAGCCGTATGACTTGATCTCATTTAAACCTTGTCAAGATACAGGCAGTAAAATTTCTAAAAGTCTGACTTACTTTTAGATGTAGTGGACTGTCGGTTTATACAACTGTCATGAGTACGAGCTAGATTAATTTCAAATTACTGAAACAAATACTCCAGCAAGAGCATGGAGCGGAAACATTATTTTAAAGTGCTCGTTAGAAACCCAACATTTCAATTACAGTTAAGAAATGTTAAACATATTACATTCCTTACATATCAAGTCTGAAAGTACAGTATGTACACAATCTACAGTCTTGTCTATATAAATAGGAAATAATTTATCTATATATCTCAAACATGACTAGTAGCTGAAGGGAAGTTAAAGACTATTTCGATTTGACCTGAAAAAAGGAAAAAAAAGCAGTCATCCCATACATACAGGTACGGGAATTCTGTATCCCCAGAACTGCCATTTTGGCCAATCTCCTTGATTAATACTTATCTGGCAGATACTTCACCCACTCATGAAGCATCTGTCAGCACGTTGCCCGTAGAGAATCACAGCATCTCCCTTGGAAGGGAATTGCTTGGGTCTCTAGAACTGGCAAGGCTGCTGCTAAGAGAATATGCAGTAAGACATAAGTCCCTTAATTAGAACAGAAGATATATGCACTGCAATGTATTACAGTTTGCAGAGATAAAAGAACTCTGAACTAGACTGTCAACAAAAATTTGGATGTTTTTTATTTTAGTTTTTGAATGAACTGTAGTGCCTATAAAAATTAAGACAAAACTAATATGAGGCATTTGTGATAAACTTAAAAGCCTACATCAACTTTCTCATACAGCCCTAATCAGTCCCTTTCAATCCAGAGCCACAGTGTGTTTGCTAGTCAAGTCTCTCATCCTGACAGGATCCAATCAAATCTCTCCATCTCACTACTGGTCCTCTCTGATTCTCACTTAACAGTTCCGCAGCATGTGGCATTATCCTGTGCACAGGCTAAGCCTCTTTCACTCAGGACTAATACCAGGTACCTGTGAAATGTTAGTACTGTACATCACTGTACTCCCACATTGCACACACTTTCCAACAATCCCCCTCAAAGTACAATATGATAATGCTTTCAAAAATACAAACAACCTTAAAAGAAAAAAGTGTTCATGAATGTACAATAAAAATATTTAACTTCTTCCCATCACTTTTCATTTCTTGGCTGCCACCAAGACCAACATTTCTTTTTCTTCCCCCCCAGTTTTTTCAATGATTTTGCAACTGGACTTTCAGACAGATACAAGAGTATACCCACTCACATACAGTAACATGATTACAGTAAAATCAAAAGCCACAAAATAAAATAATGGTGAACATTCTGCAAGTGGAATTTAAACTTTTGGTCAACATTTCTGCTAGGCTAGAGGCAAAAATATGCTGTACAAAACCACTTTAACATCTGCAAGAATAAGCCTCCTGTTTACTTTAGCCTCAGTTTAGTGTGTGGTCAGCCTGAACTACACAATTTCTTAAAAGAGCAGGTAGATAGGAGATTGTAAAGCTCTATTTCTTCCTAGCTGTACCCATAAACAGATTCTTCCCTTACGAAACAACATTCATGTGAAAAAATTTACTGTGGCGCTCAGAAGAGTTGAAGGCAAATACAGGTGTAAGAACAACAAAAGCTGTCAAGGTGACAAACGATTCAATGGACTGCTTTCTTCTCCACCTGCAGCAAGCTTGAGCGTCTTTAGCTTTCGAGGGGGATGCTGAGGACTCTTACGAAGGTTGTCGTCCATCTGCAGAGAAATAATGAGAGCCGGATCTGGCAAACAGTAGAATACAGATTAAACAATTGTCTATTTGTCAGCGCTGCCATCATTAATTCTCGTTTGGGGTATTTTTTTCCCGTTATTCCAGGCCCAGCTAAAACTGACACCTTCGTTCCTTTCCACTCCCAAAGATATGCTTGTGTTAAAGCAACTATTCATTCCACAGGCATATGGTGCATCGAACCCAAAGGGCAAATAGGTTGCTCTGCTCAAATAATTTTGTCAGCATTACTGAAGAAAGCAACACTGCTACCTTCTTCTAGGAGAGCAAAGTTTCAATTTTGTACAAAAGCCAAATGCAGCAGCATCAGAAAAAAAAAGAAAAAAAGAAAGCTGATCAAAAGTCAAACTGGTAATATCAGTGGATGATTTTGCATGTTCAGCACACTGCAAGAACAAATCTTTTTCAAATTAGAAATGTCCTGGAGGCGCTGGGTGAATTTAGATTAGTTACTGATTTCAAAAACTATTTAATAAAGTACTTGTGATAAGACCTTTTCAAAGACATGTTAAAATTAATATCTGAAATATAAAGATTTTACATTTTCACAGGAAATCAATCTAATGCCCTGTGTGTAATGTGGTATCAAAGAGAGTCTAGTTACTACAGAATAAAGAGAATTACAGAAGACAGCACAAGGTAGATCTCCAGAGGTTGTCTAGTTCATCCCACTTCCTCAAGATAGGAGTCTTTAAAACTTCCACAGCCACTTCAATACCTCAAGAGGAGATACAATCCATACCTAAAGCTACAGAAGCTGTTCATAGTTAATGATCTATTTCCTACTCTGGTCTTTTTCGGGAAGAAATGCCTTCTGTCCTTCTAGTTAAAGTGTTCTGTCTGCATCAGAAGACTAATTCTTCACAAGTATTTTTCACGTGAGTTGTATAGCTTTTGATAGGTGCTGAGTGACGCAGTCTTAGAGACAAAGAATATAAAGAAATAAAAGCTGGATGTAGAACAAGCAGAGGAACGAGTGACTGTATGTAAGTGACTATAGCATTCAGCTGGGAGCAAGGAGAGCCAGCAATTGGTCTTAACTTGAAGGACCATTTCTGGGTTTTGATCAATACATTTGATTTCTTTCCTGGAATGTACTTGCAGAAAGACACCCTTCTTTTGTTCGTATGCATGCTTGCGAGATAATGTTTCTGTGTGTAATGAAAATATTTTTGAAGTACAAGGTTTCATTATTATTTTCAACTGACGTAATTCTTCCTGCCTCTCTACACAAAGTAACTCATTTAGAAAAGAAGTAGTTAAAATAAAATGTCCACCATACAGTTGCATTTGCCGTGCAAGAGTATCTGTGAACAAGTAACCACAATGAAGCAGGAAAATTAGAGACTGAAGCAAACATAACCTTTTCAATCAAGTTGGATTCCTTATTTACAAGTTGTGTGAGTTTCTGCAGATTAGCATCTGCTGTATCCTGTCCAGCCGGAGAATGGCCTGGAGAGTGAAGGCAGAAAGATGAAGAGTAAAAAGGTATTTAGAAAAGCTTTTAAATCCTTAAAAATAAATCCACACTGGAGAGAAAGTTCATGCAGTATTTTTATGCAAACAAGAATTTAAGTGTAAAAGTCATTCCATGTGAGAAAACCAGGAGTACTAAGCGTAAGCCATAGCATACATGTGCATTTTTACCAATGCTTGACAGAGCACAACCTCAGAAGCCTCTCTGCCTCATTTCCCCACAGAAGCTCTAGCATAGACTACATAAAATCTAATTCTGCCTTGGTTCACAGATGGAATACTGGAGTCCTAATCCAAACAAGACTATAGATGACAAAAAGGGAAAAATAAACAAAGCTTACCTGAGGCAGTTAACCTGAAGTAGCAAGTTAAAATGCCATCACAGAATCGACACAGATTGGGAAGCTGTTTCAAATGCTCTTGTAGATGTACTCTGGGGAAGCACACTTTATAAATTGGTGCAAGGAAACCAAACACAAAGGCATCCAAGGTGGTAGGCCTGAAAAGAGTGACAAAACAAAACAAAAAACAAAGTGACTGAAGTAAGACATTAAGACCACTATAACATAAATATTCTCTGTGTATGTCAAACACAACTGAGGACAGAACAGAGTCAGCTTTTCCAGCATTCCATCTTTTCATATAAATCTGTTAAATGCTTTGATTTCAAATCAATCTGGTAAACGTACAGATGACCTACTGATTTCAGCACCTCTGAACTACAGACATGCTGGCAAGCTGGAACAGTAACTTCAGCATTAAAATGAAGTCTAATGCTGATAAGTCACTCTAAACCACACTTCTGTATTATAAAATCCAAACTGTATGCCAGTAGATCAGGAATCCTCTCTCATGAAGTGGTCCAACTTAACTGGCTAAAGGAAGAGATCATCATTTTTAGGAACTGTTCACACTGTATCATTGGCAATATACGTTTCCTGCTCTGTGGACGTACCACAGAAAGAGGAGTGTTCCCAGACATACACCTTCCTCCCATGAAGGTGCTGGTAACACCCAGGGTTAAAGCAGTTTTTCTGCATATGAGCACAGGAGGCGACATTCAGAGGCTAGAAAAGCATTCCTTAGTGCAACGCTAACTCATCAAGAACCCCGCATTTTCTTAGCAGCTGTAGTCTGCCTCTCTGGAAAAATTCAGGATAAGGGAGACACCACACTGCCTTACTCCAAATGTCTTGTTAGTGACCTGTTTATTTACTCAGATTTATCTGTAATGCAGAGTGTGAGATGTGAAACTACCATGCACCACTCTTTACATTGTGACAGATAAAAAAATCCAAAAACAGAACAAAAAATATTTGTGTTCACAGTCATGTGGTACCTGTTTTATTAGTCATTAAAAAGAAACAAAAACCTCAAACCCAAAATACAAACAACAGAACAAAACAAAACAAAAAATCACACTCACGTATCTCCAAAGAAAAACTGAGATGTTCCCAATCTCTTCGACAGGAGATTTAGGCACTCCTTGGCATCCCTGTATATCTGATAAGACACAAAACTGTCTAAGAGCCCTAGGTTTAGCAAGGCTACTATGCATAGCATCATTCATCATTTGACAGTGTGCTAGACTGTTTCAGTTCTTGTCTTTGACAGCATCAACTTACAAATTCTTTACTACACAACACATACTTGTGCTTCCACTTCAGTGAGACTGTAGAGTGGAGGCCCTCCCCTGGTCAGCAAAATCCTGTTCAGCGCTTCCCTGGACATCTTTCCAGGCAGATACAAACTCAGTGGGAAGGCAATCCTTGAGGCAAACCATGGTTTTGTCACACTGCAGTAATTTTCAGCATCAACCCAGAAAGTGTGCAGCTGTATCAACACAAGGGAAAACGTGACTGGAATTCGAGTAAGAAAAGTAGACATTTCTTAAAAGTTTGATGTGCAAGACCTCTGTCACAGAAGCAGCAGCACCAAGAATTACTGTAATTTAAAGCAGTCAGGCTCCATAAAGGACAATAGTCATTCTTTAAGTGTAGGAGTATAAGATTAAGACAACAGATACCTTCCACCTGAGGAAAAACAACAAAGATATTACAGACATACATACACATGCATTAAATTACATGCACACTCATGTTTATGTATGTGTGCATATCCACACTTACACACACACACACACTATACATAGAAAATATATTACAGAAATTGTTGCAGGCATGCAAGGTAAGGTTGAATTTTCTATAATAGTCTTTTTAATTTTATACAAATTTTAAAATATTATAAATGGTGACTTGTAACTTTGCAGGTCAGCTGAAGAGGCTAGCCTATGGTATCACCTGGTCAGAATATCTTTTCCTGTACAACTGAAGTCAAAGTCATTCAAGAGATCCGACATCTGGGGATTTTTATAGCTGTAATATACACTAAATTGGTGAGGGCATGCGGCCATGTGTTATTTAGAAATTAAAAATTAAATTATTTGGATTTCTCGGAAGTTCTAACTGAACTGTTCAAAAGGCTTAAACAGCTATGCACCCCACATCAGACACAACACATCATTTTCAGGCCAACCAAGTGAAAAAGAAACAACAACATAAAGCTGCTTTCAGGATACTTGAGCAAGTCCAGAGGGGGCCATGAAGATGATTCGACAGCTGGAGAAGCTCTGCTATGAAGACAGGCTGAGAGAGTTAGGCTTGTTCAGCCTGAAGAAGAGAAGGCTCCAGGGAGACCTTAGAGCAGCCTTTCAGTACTTAAAGGGGCCTACAGGAAAACTGGAGAAGGACATTTTACAAGGGCATATAGGGACAGGAAAAGGGGGAGTGGCCTCAAGCTGAAACAGGGCAGACCTAGATTAGGTATCTGGAAAAATACCTTCCCTGTGAGGGTGCTGAGGCGCTGGCACAGGTTGCCCAGAGAAGCTGTGGCTGCCCCATCCCCGGCCGTGTTCAGGGCCAGGCTGG